TTAAGTGTCCTCCGTTTGCTCCTTGTGACCATTGGACTCCTCTTTGTGTTGCTCCTCCTCCTCATCATCCTCACCGAGTCAGACCTTGACATTGCATTTTTAACTGATATCCGCCAGACCCCCGAATTTGAGCAGTTCCATTACGAATACTTTTGTCCCCTCAGGCGGTGGTTTGCCTGCAAGCTCCGCTGGGTGGGCGGGTTGCTCATTAACAAGTGAGAGTGAGGTCGTAGAGTCCATAAACCTGTTCGGGGGTCTGACAAGACGGTTAGGACTCCGGAGTGATGGAGGGCAGCCTCGTCCCAACCATGAACCCTGCTTCTCTCATCCTCCTCCTGCAGACAGACATACAGCTTGGACCACTCCTGGTAACACCGGGCCAGGATCTCTCTCCTCCCTCCTCCACTTTAAGTTGCCCTCACCCACTCAACCCCCTCCTCGTTTCGCTTACGTTGTTCTTTTTTCCTTTTTTTTTTTTTTTCTACAAAAGCCAGGACACCTTTTTTCTGCAATTTTTTTTTTAAATTTTAAGCCATTTCAGGTATTTTATTTTTTCAAATAAAACAAAGGAAAAAAAATTAAAGAGAAAAGCAAAGAACTAAAGGATTTTAAACAGTTCCTTTTACCGGAACAGAAGATGTTTTTTTTGTCGCAACAGATGAACGTTGCCTTCGTTTCTTATTTATTGCTTTTAAACACGATTAGCAGAAGGAGAAGGGGTCGTGAATGGTGATCAAGGAAGTTGATTTTGTCAGTAAAAGATGGAAGTGAGTCACGTCAGAGTCAAAGGGCCTTCTGCTGTGAACCATACATGAGTCAAAGTGGTGTAATAGCGCTTGATATCGATTCATCCCCATCAGAAGTCGGCAGCAGATTAACCTCATTAGAAAAACAAAGCAGTTTGACGGGAATAATAGTGAAGGCGTGTGGAACGGAAAACAGAAAGTGTGGTTAATGAGTTTTTTTTGGGAATATAGAAATTATCGATAGCTTAAGACACAGTTAGACTTCGGTATACATTTGTATACAAGGTTCGCAAGGTTATTTTCTAACACTTTATAAGGATACGGTGAAATAAGTACCAATACCTGTAGTGTTATTTTCCCAGTAGTGTCAGACATGGTTAGAAAAACGCTCACAATGAGCAAAGATTCACTGGCACCAGTAGATGATAGTCTAGGTAGATGTGCAATGCTGACATGGTTTTAATAATTAAGAACTTTGAATGTGCTCGTTGGTTCAGTTCTTTTGTTATTTCTTCATTTTAATTTGATTTGCTTTTTTTTTTTTCATCACGTTGAAATTCGATGAATTTCAATGATTTCTTTGTATGAAGAATTCTTGATTTATTTTGGTTTCATATCAACCTTGCTCTGACTATATTATTATTATTGTTAGAATAAGAGTAATACTGTACTTTTTGTACAAATTAGTTTGTTTCCTAATATATATTGACACGTTTTCCATGTATATTTTAACAGAACTGAAATGTTATTTTGTTATTGAGATTAAATTATACCTTTTTTAGCGCTGTAAGGTCAGAAGCATTTATGGAAAGATGGAAGGAGGTCTGAAAAAGAAAAAAGAAAAAACAACAAAAACAAAACAAAAAAACAACAACAAAAAACAAACAAACAGGGCTTTTATCCAGATCCACTCAACACTAATCATGCCTCCCATCACTCCACCAGCAGAGTGTGTGCAACTTTAATGACCGTTTAGATTGAATTAAATCTGGAATGTCATTGTACCACCAATACTAAATAATTCAAAAACATATGTCCGACTTTCATAACTTTATCATATCTTATTTTACTTGAAGAATTTGGAGAAGTGACGGAGCCTGACTGACTGGATCTACGTTAAAGGGGACCTGTTTTTTGATATTTAAATATGCTGGATTCTCATGTTTAAGATAGTTGATTTTACAAATGTGCAAATAATCCATGTGAGACAGAAGCTCAGACTTCAGGCTGCTGACAGTTTGATTTTTTTTGTTTTGTTTTGTTTTGGGGGTTTTTTTGGACCCTTGGACCTGCATGATGTCAGTAAGAGCGGATGTCCCTAATATGGTCATGTTTAGGCACACAGTGCTGGTTGTGTGCGCACATAACCACCACTCACCTGATGGAGTGGGGGAGCTGAAATAGCTCATTTCAGACAGAAGATAAGCTGAAGGGCTGCACTAAAGCACAGAATGAGGTAAATAATAATTATTTTAAGCTGTTTTTCATGCAAAGCTACTCTTAAGGATATAAAAGGTCCTCTTAAAAAAACAAACACAAAGTAATTTGACATGCTTAAAAATTTAACATTTAAAAAAAACTAGGAGGCTGTTTTGATAAAATGAATATTGCATAAAATTAGCTACTATTAATGCAATAATTATCTTTTCTCTGCATTTATAAATACAGTATCTGTTGGTCAGATTAAGGAAAATCGCACTGAAACAATAAATTAATCTAGAATTAACTAATGTGAAACCAGAAATCTCGACTTTGGTGGAGACAGACTGCATACAGGAATCTTTTCTTTATCTGGAGGTTTATATCAGATAACATCTGCTCCTTGATGTCTTGGTCAGGCTTGAGGCTCTTCCGTCTCACAGCTCAAGGGAGCAATAACTGTCACGGCTGCTGGATTCTGGTTAAAATCGGGGGGGTTGTATTGCGTGTCTACCTCCTGCACCAAATGCAGGTGTATGTGTTAGTGTGTCATTATGTAGGAGTGGAAGCAAGATTCATGGTGATGGAGTGGAGGCTTGGACAGACTAAAGCAGAGAAGGAGGAGAAGTGAGAGGGGTGACGAGAAAGAGATGTAGAGAAGTTCTGAAGGATTAATTACCATGTAAATTCGAAATTGAAGGCTGATCAACGGCTGTACAGGGTTAATGTTTTCTTTTCTTCTTTGTTTTCTTTTTTGGTTTTTTTACACACACCCTCCTGCAGCTGCTCCACTAAAGGCTTGATGGTGCTACTTGATTTGTTTGCTCCTGTGTAATCTGAGCATATAAGTCCTCGGCTACGGCCTGACTGCAGACAGAGTAGCTTGCACGCTGGCATTGTGGCTGGATCCACTCCTTTGGCTAATTGTCTTTCACAGGCCATAGTTATCTCTGGTGGAGGTAACAGCACTGACATTTCTCAGCACAATGCTAAAAGGAAACATGGAATCAATACAGCAACACTAGCAAGAACGCTGTTGATGTAGGAGCTTATTTAAGTGAAGAAAAGAAAAAAAAGCACATTTTTTCCTACCAGGGGGTGGAGCGGGGCGGGTGGGTTGACTTTTTTTGTGTACTTTCATACTTCATATTTATTACTTTTTCACTGAGGTCAGTATGACCCTTTAGTCCAGCCAGGCTGCATTGTTGTAGACATCTTTTTTTAAAAGTGTTCCTTTTACATCTCTCAGCATTATGTAGCTTAAGCGGTCTCTCTGAACATGCAACAATTTAAAAAAAAAAAAAAAAAAAAAAAAAGCAGCATTATTCATGAAGCAATAAACAGCTGTAAGAGCAAAAAGTATGAAAAACATGTATACTAAGATCTAATGATGACTAATGTTTGATGAGCCAAATTTATTCGCCCAATTTGCTGTTGTGCTCACTCAAACAACGATGCTTGGACTCGAATGCTTAGACGCTCAGTTACCTTTGCAATCAGTAATCACAGTTTCTAAAATGGCATTTTCCTTAGAGACCTCTTGTGTGGATGTTTGTTCTGCTGTTTTCTGTTGTTTCACTGTTAAGCAAAACATTGCTCCCTGTGCCTGGATCCTCACTCTGCAGTTTACCAAAGTGGCAAAGATGAAGGAATGGAGACAGAGAGGCGCGACATCTCTTTCGGCTACAGACTTCTCCATCCTTAAATCTCCCAAACCAAGAGGGGAAAAACACTTTTCAGCTCTGTCTTAGACTCTAGTGTTCAACAGGCAGGCAAAACTCTTTGCAAGCTTGTTTCCTGTGACTAACCTGACATTACATTGCAGTTGCGGTGCCACGTTTACATTTTCTGCAGTTACTTTACTTCATGGGAGATGACAGAAGCCATATCTGTCATTTATGGTTCATAAGGAAAATTGGCTTGTTTGTACTTTTTGAAAAAATATGTGGTTGCAGTGGAAGATGAAACATGAATTTTAGTAAAAGTAAAATACACGTGATGAGAATTAACCCAGTAACATAAGCTGCATGGATTTAAAATGCAATTTCATATGACAGCCAACCACCCGATTTCTGTAAACCTTTGATCGATTGTTATGAAGGCTGTAACAAAAAGATCTTAAGTTTCATGCCTGAGGTTGCTTTTTTTTCATTCTACTGGACTGCACTTTACTGTGACGTGTTATGTTGTCTACATATCTGAGTCATTATTAGCTAAACCAGCTAAAAAATTAAAAAAAAAAAAAAAAATAAAAAATCAGAATTTAAAATTTCTGTTGCAATCACATAAACCAACTTACCTGACCACAATTAGGTGGTTTGTTCTTAATTGGCTTGATTTCCTCCCTGGCCAGAGCCCCTGTCACATTAATGTGAATGGTGCTTTTCGCACCAAGGGTTTAATGAAACTAACCCAAGACAGCTTGCTCTGCTTTTTGCCCTTTGCTCGCTCCCAGTACAGACCTTCACACAACTGTGCATACACGTCAATGAGTGTATATGCATATCCATGTCTGGTGGCGTGTTCTCTAGTCTGCCTCATTCTATCCTCAGATCGCAGATTGCTGTTTAATTATGTTAAATATACAAGTATATATACATATATATATATATATATCCATGTGCCAAATCCAGTTCTTGTTCAGTCTGATCCATTCCAAAACCAATGTTTGTACTGTAGGTAACCTTCTGTACAAGTCAGTATAAAATATTGTTTCTCTCCAATAGTCCCTTGTAACTGGTGCCATTAAATAAGACACTTCAAACTTGAAATAAATGTTAAAAACGGATGCAGCTGCTCGTGTGGTTTTGTGTTTAAAAAAAATAAAATAAAATAAAATTTTAATTTATTTTTATTATCAAATAAGATAAGCACATAAAAGTGCAGGGAAGGATTCCAGCCACAGAAAGTAAAAATGTACAACAATATAAACATGCGATAACTGTACAGAAAATGCCGTTTTAGCTGGTCCAATATGAAGCAGCAGCTTGGTGGATTAGAAAATTAGCTTACTAGTCTACAAAGTCAGATACGGGACGAAGGAGTCCTAGCTCAAGTGTGAAAATACTGGCTTTAAGAACGGACGCTGGCTGCTTTGAGGCATCGGGGCTGCCAGTAATCCTGGTCTCCTGCCTGCTGATGCATCACCTGCTGAGCTCCTGGACCCTCGACCTCCACCCCTGGAGCTGGAGGACGACCAGGATTTATTGCTGCTGTAGCCACGGCTAAATCCACAAAAATCACCACAGCAAGACAAAAGAAAGCAAAAAAGAAAAATAGTTCAGTTACAAGGGTGATGCCTATTGGCAAATATGATCCCCAACTGGATGATGAAATGTGAGACAACACTCTACAGACCCTTTAGAACCGGAGCTTGTGTTGCCACATCCTTTTTTCTTCTTGGAATACTTGAAGAACGGAGCCTTCTTTCTCTTCTGTCCCTGTGCAGACTTATTACGGAAGTAGGTGGAGGACTCCGTGTCATCCTCGTCATTTCCACGAGTGCGACCTCGTGCCGTGTCTATCCACCCGTCGCCTCCACTGTCAGCCTGCTCCTCTGATACACAGAAGACATTTAACTTTATTTTTAAATTCACACAAATTGTGTTAAATTTAAAAAAAAAAAAAAAAAAACTACAGGCAACCACTGGTGCTAGTGGTCAGCCTCCTCCTAGACATGCCAAAATCTTAGATGTCTTGATCACATTCACAAGATTTTAAGAAACCTTGACCTCTGACATTGAGGTCACAAATTTAAACTGGTCTGAGATTTTAAGTAGATACAATTTGATATAACTGGAAGCTCTTATGTCGCCTCATTTTCAAGTTATCTTATTCACAAACTCCGGTGAACATGCTGCCCACCTGCCTGTTAGGTTGACGACAGCACACCATCATGTGATCCAAAAAGTTACAATGTGCAAAACTTCAGTAGGATCTCTTACCAGGTAGCTGCCACTCAGAATATTTCTGTAGGACCTGAATCACTTCAGCTCCATACTTGTCCAGTTTATCTTCTGTTACACCATCAATTTGCAGGAGGACTTCAGGGTCAGAAGAAAGCTTTTCTGAATGTGACAAAAAGTGTGTTAAGTTATAAAATGTTTGCTTTTGAAATTAAATAAAAAGTTCTGTGTCTGAGAAGTTTAATTACCAGCTATCTTTTTCAATGTGGCAGTGGAGAAAATGTTGTAATAATGAAGGCCAAACGCTTTCCCCAGCTGCTTGCAGAGATCCAACAGCTCCTTAAGACACTCCTGCACCATCGCCTCTCTCCGGGAGACGTTCTTCGCCGTGGCAGCTTTATGTTTCCTGATGGTGGACGCGCTCTCAGTCTCATAAAACTCCACCTGGGAAATGATGAGAGCCAGTAGTGTATTCATTGACTGGCAGCACTTCATTGCATTTTCCTACTCTACCTCTCTTCATGACACTTAAAACGATTGGTGTACAAAGGTGTACAAAATGACACAAATTCCGATGTTTTAGGATATGAATTTGTAATACACACTGCAAGCAAATTAAAAAGCACCAAGAAAAACAATTGATAATTGATTTCATCATGCCTGTCAGGTCTGTAAAGGCCTTAAACGCTGATGTGCGACCTCTTACCTGCATGTGTCCAGACAGCACATTCATTGCTTTTGTTCCAGCGGAGATATAAGACACAGCTTGCCCACCATTGGTGATGTAGAGGTCTTCAACCAGGACGTTATCCAGAACCAGCTTTTTAAAAAGACGGTCAGCATTGTGTCTGGAGTAGGCTGCTCCAATGCCAAACATTCCTGTCTGTACCTTGGCAGCTTTAGAGCCTGACATAAAAGAACATTTACAGTTTTTAACCACACATAATTCAAACAACTGTACTGGGAATATCAACTTGTCTAGCTGCCAAATGCATTTTTACTGCTTGCTTGTGTATGTACTGTACCTATGAAGATATCCACAAGCATGTTGAGGGTCAGTCTGTTTTGGTTAGCAGTCTTGCCAAACCTTGCTCCGACTTTCTCACAGTTCTCCTGGACAAACCTCACGATCTTTTTCACGTCTTCAGTCACGTTTCGCATCTTGTATTGCTGTTTTTAGGAACATTGATGGCCAATTACAAACAGCTGGCGGTAGGTTACATATATTATCAACATAGAAGAAATGATTCCTACGTTGGGTTTGGTACAGTTGTCGCAGCTGACGTCTGGATGGTCCTTACAAAAGTTTCTGTTGAACTTCAGCTCTCCGAAGTAAGCGAGCAGCTGAATTCTTCTGCACTCCATCACGTTCTCACAGAAGTGCACCATGCTGTGTAGGTTGTTGTAGTGAGTTGCCTTGGTGTGTCTGTCACCTTCTCTGTCCACTGCGATAATGCAAGAAGCCAAAAAGATACTGTGTAAACATGTCAGGAGCTGAACTGGCCTGGACGGTTTGATTTTCTATCACTTACTGCTGATAATCCTCTTGATGCGCTGGACGTCGGTGTAGGAGTAAAAGAGAATGCAGTGAGAGATCTCTCCATCCCTGCCAGCTCTCCCTGACTCCTGGTAGTATCCTTCCATTGATTTAGGCAGACTAGCGTGGATCACATAGCGCACATCAGGCTTGTCAATGCCCATGCCAAAGGCTATGGTGGCACAGATGACCTGTTGGCAGCAAATGAAAAAAAAAAAAAAAAAAGAGGATTTCAAGCATGACTTGAAACCATGATTTAAATTACGCAACCATCTAGTGATCTCGTCTTTGTGGCCGGTACCCAGACTGCTGGTTATGTTCATAATATCTATAATTTGAGTTTTGAGCTGACCTGGCAACCATCCTGATTGATCCATTTGGTCTGCACATACTCTCGGTCACTGTCACTGAGTCCTGCGTGATACGACAGGGCTGATAACCCTGCTCTCTGAAGACTCTCGGCCATGGCATCACAGTCATTACGAGACAGGCAGTACACGATGCCAGAGTCACCTGCATCAGAACAACGGACAGATGCATATAACCCCCGACAAAACACAGATTTAAAAGAACTTAGGGATTTCCCTTCTATCCAAAATAACATCCAACAACTTGATATAATAAAATTCTACACAGTAATCCACTTGGCTTGTTGTCTGCAAACTGTTTTGATTTCCCACCTACTGTTCCAGACATGTGAGGGCTTAAAGTGTTCATATACAGTTAAAAATTTAACACAGCAGTTATGACAGTGTTCTGAAAATAGCATGCACCGGGATCAGAGAAAGTACTGAATTATTTACGTGGGTAGTGCTTCTTGATCCAGCTGGTGCAGTCCTCATCCACCTTTTTGGGTTTCTTGGGCAGCACTGAGTACTTCAGGTTTGTTCTGTTGAAGCTCATCGTAAACCTGAAAACACATTGGAAGAAAAATGTTCAGTTACTGTTTTGCTTTTTGATCCAGCAAGAAGAAGAAAAACACGCACGCACGTTTTAAATCTAAGCCAGAGGCTGAAAGTGAAGACATACACTTGGGGTCGACTCATGTTCAGCTGGTTGAGGATGTCTTTCTGTACTCGAGGAGTAGCTGTGGCTGTCAGAGCCATCATTGCCACATTAGGGAACTTCTGACGCAGTTCATGCAGCTTCTTGTAGTCTGGGCGGAAATCGTGGCCCCACTGAAAGATTTAAAATGATGGAATGATTCAAAATGGCTGCTGCTAAAAATAAAAGCATACAGCAGGATTGGGTGCGCATGAAAGCAAAGGAGCATACCTGACTGACACAATGGGCTTCATCTATGACAAACCGAGCCAGAAGGCCTCGCTCGTACAAGTTCTGCAGTGCGGAGATTAACCTGTTACTCGCACTCACCTTTTGGGGGGGAGTGAGGAATAAGTCAGTTTTAAGCATTACAGAATTTATAGTTACAGACATGTTTAATTATGCAATTAAATCTTTCAAAATTAGTTTACAAGTCACAAAAAGCTCACCTTTTCAGGTGTGGCATAGAGCAGTTTAATAATGGGATCTTTCCTTGAAAGCTGCATATAAATCCTCGATGCTTCACTATCACTTTTATCACCAGATAGACTTGTTGCTGGAATCTGAAATGTAGAACAATATAATAAAAACAAAAATTAAAAAACAAAAACACAAAACAAACCAGAAGTATAAAAAACTTCCTAAACCAAGACTGAAATTACTATTCACAATATTGACTCGCAGTTCCATTTCCCATGTAGTGAGGAGCTGTTAGTGAAAACATTAATGCAAGTGGGCTGGACAAGCAAAACTTTTGGTCAGTCTAAGGAAGTTTAACTACACAGTTAATCTCTCCGATATCTTAATATAAGCAAATCAAATGCAGTATCTACATGACAAAGAAATGCTGCTGTAGTAAATTAAAGACATTTGTCAGCACGACTCTTTGGACTTAACTTGTGAGAAATAAATGTGTAAAACTTCAGAAAAGGCTGTGGCACTTCATTTCTCAGGCTGTGATTTAACTATAAAGCAGAAAACGTATGCACCGGGATGTCTGTTTTTTCAAAATAATTACTTATTTTGAAAAAAACATTTGTTTCAATTGTAGACAGGATTTTTTCTGTTGTTATTTAATTGTTTATACGTTACCTAATTACATTTTTCTAATTGAATGGCCATAGGGGAGGTGTTTATCAACAGGAAAAACAAAACACAGTTAACAGTGCAAAAATGATGCCCTCCTTCACACTTTCCAAGACCTTCCTTTGGGCCAAACTGGAGTCTTTGCCTGACAAGTTCTGGCCCCTGGGCCTTATATTGAGATGCATGTTATAATCCAATCATTATCAAGTAATCAAGTGGCAGACAGGGGCCAATTGGTGAAATGAACCAAATCTGACTGCCAAAAGTTAAGATATGAACTGACGCATAATTTAGAAAAACTGTTAAAATGAAAATGATTTTTAAACCTATTAAATTAACTTATTTATTTAATACATTTTCCAAGTACACGCATAAGCACTTGACACTTTTCTCTGATCAAATAGACGAGTGGAAACAAGCATACTTACATCCAGAGTGGTGAGTTTCTGAACTTGGTCTACGATGAGTGATTTGAGTGGAGAAACCACCACAGTGACCCCCAGCGAGACACACGCAGGAAGCTGATAGCACAAACTTTTCCCTCCACCTAAAAAATACAACAGTTTAAGATACCTGGACATCTTCACAGCAAACGCTGCACTACTGTAAGCATGCTTTTACAAACCTGTGGGCATTAAAACAAACGCATCTTCACCCAGCAGTGCAGCATTAATCGCTTCTAGTTGATTAAACCTGAACTGATGAAGTCCAAAACGCTTGTGAAAGATCTTCATCATCTCTTGTGAATGAGGGAAGTTAAAGCCTCTGAAGCGATCATGAGCTGGGTTTTTGAAGGTGGGTTCTGCAAATAGAGACACAAAAAAGACAAGTTCCTTAAAAATCAAATCCTGTGTTTATCAGGTATGACAGACCACCTTTAAAAACATATGTTTTCTGTTAAATATATAATTCATATGGAGTTTTGCATTTCAGGAGAATGAAATCTGTACACATAGAATGTGTAACAATCTAGAACTGTATGAGATTTGTGGACCAGAGGGAAACAATTGGCTGTTCTCAAATGCCTCAAAAACAGATTCAGTGAGTACAAAATGACTTGCCTGGAGAACAAATTGTTGATGGCTTTGGAGCAGAAGTAGGTGTTGTTGGTTTCTTTTCCCATGAGGACTTGCTCGGCCCCCCCTCTTTCACTGCTGTAGTCACAGCTGATGAAGTTTGTGGTTCGTCAAAGTAATCTGGGATATCAGAGTCATTAAAGTCATCTATATCAAAGTCGTCATTATAGAAGTCATCCATTTCTTCATCTTCAGCAGCTACAAATGTTGGGGTGTTGTTCGATTTCTTCTGCGCACCACTCTCTGAGTCCTTGGGTGAGAAGCAGAGGTCTGAGCCATCAAGATCAATGCTTGATTTCTCAGATATATTAAAAGATGGCTTTGTGAACCTGTGTGCTGATGGAGAGTCACAGATACTGTCAGTTTCAACACCTATTGCCCTGCTGTCCTTATTATCCAAGGGCTTTATATCAATAACACTGTCAGAGTGATCAGAGTCATAGTCCACAGAGATGACTGAAGATCTTCTATGCTGAGGAGGCTTCTTGGAGTCCACAGGCACAGAGCTGTTCGATGAAACACCGTTGCTAGAAAAAGATGTTTCTTTGAAGCTGGGTTCAGAAATCACTGTGCTGTCTGGCTGCTGCATCCTAAACAAACAGTCACCGCCAGTTGCAAGAATTCTCTTCCTGCAGGATAAAAGCAGGTGATTATGGTCATAAATACATTTAATTAAAACACCATGAATAATACCAAAACTACACACAAAGCTAACACACCTCTGGGCCCTCTTCAGTAAAAGTTCATCTCCACAGGACAAAGCAATTAATTCATGTTCAGGGATGGAGTCAACCAGAGCACAAATGGACTCCATGATAGCAAAAAGTTTTTCATCTGAAAAGAATTCAATACATGGAAGAAAAAAAACAACAAAACATACTTTTGAATAAAATGAGGTATAGCTTTTTTTTTTTTTTTTTAAAAGGTACAACACTCACTTGTTTTGTCTTTTAAGCAGAGCTCGGATGGTTCATGCAGTGCGACGGGGCTCTTTGATTTCACAGCATTGTCTCCAATTTGAGCATCAGCTGATTCAGCTCTGTTTGAAAATAAAGAAAGTCATGTGATACGTTTCTAACTCTTAGAACAACCGTAATTTTTAAAATGACTTTCTTGTTATAATAAATATGACCTGAAAGAGTGATTAAGTTCATCAGCTAAGTATTTATTAAGGTCAAAGATGAGAAACCCACAGATCCTTTTCCCCACAGATAGGAAGTTCAGAGGAACCAAACTTGCTGGCCATTAAAGAAATTCAAGTTTACGCCTTTTGCTCACTGGCACCATCTCTGAAGCCAAGGCTGTCTTATATACTGTCTATATTTAAAACTTTCCCCATCAATCTAACTATTATCACTACAGAGAAGCGATTGCTGGCAGTAACAACTTTTTACAGGATGAAAGAGAACATTCGAGCATTTTGGCTGCTACAAACACAAGTATGATTGGTAAAATATGCAGACAAGTCTAAATTCTGACCTTGTCTCCAGTGCTGAGCCTGCGTAAATGATCTCATCAGGGATGGGTGAAGGTGGAATGCAATCAAGGTCATCTTCAGGCTCAGAGTTGTCATCTATCTCTATTGTCTTTGGGTCAATCCATATTTTCTTGTTACCTATAGAGTAACACATGGTAGCACATAGCGTTTTTTTGTTTTTAAATGTAATCTGTTGACCAGTGTATACCTAAAATAAACACCCAGTTACCTGTGCTTCCTGTAAAAGGTTCCAGCTCAGCATTATTATCTTCTTCACTGTCACTCAAGATATGCTTTAGATGTGCAGGATGTTTTCTGTTCATCTTAATGGCAAGTTCCTCCTCATCTGACCAGTCTGCTGGTTCCTGGTTTAAACTGGGTCCTGGTGAAACTGCAGCAGTGTTGACATTTTCCTCTGGCTCATCTGTTTCCATGCAGGTTTGCTTACCACTCTTGCTAGTTAATTTGGATGTTTTAAATAAGGAATCATAGTTTAGTTTCCCTGTCGATTGTGCTTTTTCTCCAGTAGGGGATGGCAGTAGTTTGCCACTTTTCTCTGATACTTCTGAACTGAATGAGTTGTTTTTTCCCTTGGCTGGTGTTTCAAAGTCATCTAAATCATCCCAGTTGTCCACAGGAAAACTACGTGACACATCCAGAGCTGTGAAATTGAATGAATTACTGCTACAAGATAGGCTGTCAGATTTAGCTGGAGCCGACTTAATATCAGAGACCACTGAAGGTGTTTGGGATGCAGGAGAGGCAATATCTGCTGGGCTGATGGTATCCGACTTGCATTTTGAACTTACAGAGAAGTAGTTGTTGATTTTGGATTTTTGAGGTCTCTCAAGCTTGTTTGAAAATGTCAAAGGAGATGGAGTCACCAAACCGCTCTTGTGGACATTGACATTCCTGTTTGCCAAAACATTTGAGCTGATTACCTTGGTAGGGACTTCCACCTTGGTCGTACCTGATGAGGACTTCTTTTTGAAAGAAAAAGCCCTGAAAATTACACACAAAAGGAGCTGAATTATTAAAACAATATGACTGTTAAGACAGCTAGTCTAACAGACAGTCTTACAGACTTTGAGGTGAAAGTGTCGCAATTTGAAACCATATCGCATGCCCAGCACTGTCACCCTAAACAGAGTGTACAGTAAATAACAAAACGTATCCATCCTTTTGCTGTTAGCAAAGCTTACAGTTAGCTAGCAGTTTTTTGGCCATACTTACCCCGGTTTAGGTTTAGCAACAGACTGCTTGCTTTGAGCAGCATTGCTGTGCCTCGCTAGCTGTTCCTTCAAGTTATTTTGTGGTAGACTGGACATTGCTTGTAAGAGGCAGCGCTAACGTGTTAGCTGGCTAGCAATAAGAGCTCAATTCATGAAGTAGCAGCGAGCAGTTTGTTTAGCATTACGCTAGACACGACGTGCGACCTGTCTCCCGGAGAGTCGCTCTTCACTCGTACCCCTCGTTGGAGTAAAGCTCAGTAACGTTCATTACAGTTAAATATTTTTCCCTTTGTTTTGACCGGAGATTAACTCTCTCAATGTGTACCTGTAAACCCAGACAACAGATTTTTGCGCCCATTCAACAAACGGACTTCTTATTGGCCGAGGCTGATTTGGCGTGAGTATCATGGGGAATGTAGTCTTCCGCGTGCACGAAACACATTGGGCCGGTTTCACACACACATTTTATACTTGTTTATAATGCAAAAGCAGCCTAAAATGTAACTTTGAGCTGATCTAATACCGTCTACGATCGTGTTACATAAAACGCAATGATTTTATGAATACAAATTATCATCCCACCACTGGCTATCGTAGACCGAAGACCTACCTAATAGCGACCTCTGCTGCCCAGTTGCATTAAAAAACCAAAAAAAAACAAATCAGAAACCCTAACCCAACAAAATCAAGCTACCGGGTAAACGTTGTTTGCAGCACTGATAAATAATGCCCTTCATACCCTGCAACATTCCTGTCACAATGGCCTAATTAAACCAATGGATAGAATCTCCGATTTTTTTTTAAATATTTACAATAAAATTGTCACAGAGGGGTGTAACATTTGTGTCTCTTTGTTTTCTGTGACTTTTTACTGCAGTGCATTGTGAATAACAACTCGACATATTTAATAGAGTTTATTTGCAAATTTTATCAGAACAGTTTGAATGATTTTCAATGAAGTGATAATTTCAGTTACATTTATTTCATAGTGTAGTGACCTGGATCTTTCTGTCATAGTGCTTGAATGGGGGTTAAGACTTCTTCCCTTTTTGGAAAAACAACACATCTGTAGATGCACAGGCAGCTGATTTTAAAACAAACTCTATACAAACAACATAAAAAGGAACTGGCTTCATCGTCGGCCCTTTTGTAATGTGCAAACATGTAATAATCACACCACTGGGAATGATGCGCAGGCAGCAAGTCCACACATGTTCTTCCCACGTTCAATGAGGAAATACCTGTGAGAGGACAAAACTGTTACTCTGTTTCTTTGGTTCATAATATTTAGGGAAATTTTTCTACATGTGACTGATTACAAAAATTACCCGTTCATGCCCCAACTCGATCCCCATGAGTTCTTTACTATCCAGTGAGGCGTACCATTTTCTTGTCCATAGCCGACAGCCAGAACTGCATGGTTCACTTTGTCGGTGGTGTTGTGGCATTCAGTGCTGAAAGCAGAACATGTTTCTTCTGACTCTATATCTTTTATTCAGAAAGAGGAACTAAACCTCTCAAATGTCTGAAAGTAACAGCTTTACTGACATTTTAAACTGAATGAAATACTCTAAACCCTCTTTTCTCAGTTCTTATTTTAGCAGCAGTGGTTGTGGTAAACTTGCTGTCCAAATGAAAAACAGGTTTTGACCATGTGTGTTTATGTGAGCATCAAAAGAATAATAGACTTGATCAGTAGGTTCAAGTAAAGGTCTGCCCCATTCATTTCATGGACACTGCAGGGGGAAAATGATGGGAGCAAACATGCAGGAATCTGCTTACATTTGGTTATAGCAAATATAGTGATCATATAAACACTTAGTATGTTTTAATAAATGTGAAAAAAAGACAAAATTGAAATTATGACATCTTCTTACCTGGTGTACACACCCTGGTGGTAACTCATAAAGTCAGAGGTCACCTCAAAAGCAAAGCTGACAGGATTGTGTGTCCCGACAGCGTCCACCAACTCCATCTCATTGTACTGACAGACGGCAGAAAAACGTCATCATTCACTCGCTTCACTAAAGACTTTTCCTTAATGAAAATCCCTGATGGATACTCACTGCTGTTATGTTCACCACACTATTCACAAAAGCAGCTGCCCTTTCTGGTTTGTACACACACTTACCCTCCTAAAATGACAAAAAGGCACAGTTAAAATAAATTAAGCCATAAAACACAACTGTTTGTAACTGAAAAGTCTCTTTTGTTTAATGTTTCTTTTTTTTAGTTGATAGTTACAAAAGCCGTGTATGGATAGTCCTGCTCGGTCATCAGTCCCTTGTTGTACATGATGTATTCAAATGCTTGACTGGGAAGACCACTGAAAGACAAATTCATATGTTATTAAACGAGTGAGTACCGTAATTTTCTTTTAAAGGGGAAGGTAGGAAATGTTTGACTCGCCCATTGCATCCATGGTTGTTGAAATCTTGAGCGCAGTCTACCAGCTGTTGTTCTGACTAGTTAACGCAATAGGCAGTAAAGTTAGTCATTATGCTTTGTCATGAAGTGCAATTTTTGATACGTAATCAGCTAATAAAAAACAAGTCACCAGTGGTACAAGCTTCCCCTTGTTGATGGCAGTTACAGACTCCAAACAGCCAGTGGTGGAAAACGTCCAGCAACTACCACAGCCTCCCTTTGCCGTAAACACACACACACACACACACACACACACACACACACACACACACACACACACAAAGATTTTAGGAAAGATTTTATGCACTGAAAGAAATACTAAAAAAAATCCCACAAACTCAACTTAACACTGGGCCTTTTTCTTACAGCAGACCTGTTGACATGTTTTGTTTGGAGGAACACTGGATAAACTATTTAAGGGCAAACAGTTTTTGCAATGCCACTCAGCAAGTAAGTTTAGTTAACCTGTTCTCGACATGCAACAGTAACATTTTTCACTGCATTGTGGGGAAACTGCATCCCCTTAAAGGCTTTCCTTTTTAATTATAAACATTTTATTTTACTATTACTATAATGTTGTTGTTTTTTTAATCTACTGTCTGACTGAGCAACCATGCATGTGGATGTCTGAGGTTCAGACTCACCTGATTCTTCACTGGGGTCACATAATTCCCTTTCTTTCTCCAGTCGATGGAGTCTGGTAGCGGCCCATTGCTGCTGAAGTAGTTCCCTTTGGTGGCAGAGCAGTTCTGCAAAAATCAACTTGTCAAAAAAACCCCAACAACAGCTTAATCATCATTGCAAAATGCTTCTTGTATGAGCATCATTACCTGAGGCTCAGACATGAGGAAGGACTTTCGAAATTCACTGAATGTCATGTCTGAAAACTGGTTCAGTGCCACTGCAGGAAGAGAGGAAATGCAGGTGAAAGCACTTTAGGATGAGCCACGTGAAACAAAACGTTAATGCAAACACAAAGAGGTCTTACTTGTGAACGAGTGGTTTCCTTCATTGTGTTTGTCAATCCTCTTCTTGTTCTCTGTGAATATCTGCAGTCGTTGGTAGTACTCCTTCAAGTTGTACCCTTTGTTGTACTGTACATGGAGGAAGGGTGTTGATTTAGACATTTATTTTTAAGTTTGATGCAGTACCCACTTGAGCCACGTTGTTACTATGATTTTCTCACCAGACAACTTCCTCATAACAACATACTGAGCGCAATCTTTTGCTTATGTCACGGCGCTATAACCTACCTGTGCCATCCATGACTTGAAGTGAAACTCGTCTGTAAATAATCCATGTTAAAAAAAAATGTTAATAAGTGTCCGATAAAGAACATGAAACAATAGAACAGACGCCGTGGCCGTAAATATGAAAGCGAAAGCTGGTGTAGCGCAAATGTCAAAGCAAAAAAGCACTAAAGGAATAAGAATGTAAAGTGGACTTTACCAAACAAAATAAGAGACTTACCTTGATCAGACAGGCGAAAAGCTGACGTTACAGAGGCCGCAAAGAGCACAAGAAAAACGAACATTGTGTCGACTGTTCCAAGTGCCAGTATTTGCAGCCGGAGTGTGAAAGTGAAGTGAAACAGATGAGGCGAGTCACGAGGTGAACAGCTGCTATTACAACTATGTGGCTATTGTTCTGCGATCCACGGGTAAATGTTTGATGGTTCACGGACTGCGTTTTGCTTTAAGCTATAGTTATTAAAAAATGGAGAGCACTGCAATAAATAATCATCACAATGCACAACAACTGCCTTCGTACAAAATGGTTAAAATAAACATAAAATAAGCGGCGTCTCAACTGTGGCTAAAGTGACATTGTGGCATTAAAGAAATGGAAATTATGTACTAAATGTATAAAGCAGCAGGAAAATAAACGTATATAATCTGTTAGTAATATTTTAGCCCCAGTTTATAGCATGAGCATGCTATAAAACATGTTTAATAGCGTCCTCCTTTTTAATCTGTGTTTGAATATTTTTTAATGTGTCTACATTTAAGAATGTCGCTACAAGGGCATATTTTGGTGAAATAATATGGTTTGTATGACTTGAAGCAATCATTTTTAAATAAATAAACAAGATAAACATATGCCATCAAGTTCACTGCTAGAGTCAGACCTGCGTTATTACCAAGTCTTTTGTGATATTAGTAAATGAAATAAGGAAATCAATAAAATGTAGACCAGGTATTAAGCTGGTCCCAGGTTTCATGAAAGTTATGATGTGATTGCAACTTGGATTTTAACATTTATTGAATCAGAAAACAATTTATGTCATGTTTAGTTTGTGCATTTGTGAAAATTCTAATTGTGATCATAAATATTTTTTTCATATTAATTCCGGATTTTTGCCGGATCACGGTAGGCCGCTGAGCACAGTTGCTTCCTAGGACAGAGAGCTGCTTATAAAGCTAAGAACTTTCAGACTGTATTTTATTTCATCATATTAGATGAGCATGTCAACTGATACAAGATCTACAAAAACACTTGAGACAAAATGCCCCTGAGATAAAATGAATTTATTATCAAGAGGTAACTGGGAAACATATTTTTGTTTATTTGTTGTTATGTTCTTCATCTTCTTTTAATCTTTTTTTTTCCTTACAAAACTGGGAATATTTCTTAAGCTGTGGAAACATGAGGGTTGAAAGATAATTTTCATACCATTGGGTATTGCTTACAGCAAAATGTTTATTTGTTTATATACCTTATAAGAGTATGTGCATTTATAAGTGTATACAGTATAAGTATATAGTATTATTCTGTCTGTGAAGGTGTTGCATGCCTACCACATTAGCTTCAAAAGTGTACTGTACATACATAGTAAAAATACATACAAATATTCACAGAATAAGCACTACGTTACTATATTCCTGCTAACAGAAATGGTTATAGACAGGATTACAGTATAAATGCAAAACACTTTGAATTGCTCTCCTACCTCTAAGTTATGGTTTCAAGACCACACTGTTGTAGCGTTTTGTGTTAAGCTTGTGATATAAGTTGTTTTTGAGAGGATTACACTGTTCCACATTGAGAAATATGCCAGGTTGCATGTACAAAATGT